TATTAATTGGTTATTCTACAATTAATTGTACTATAAATTATACTACAATTGGACTATACTGTAAATTTACAAACTGTTCGGCGTGATGACGTTATATGTCTCCGACAGCGCCTGTAGTCCCATTTAGCAATTTGTTAGTAACCGTCTTTTTTAAGAAACGTAACAGTTTTAAAAAATCACGAGTGGGGTGTAACTGGTGTGTTTTATGTCGTTGAATAAAACGTGAAGGTATCTTGAGTTTGTGTGAACCACTGACCTTATTTTAGGGGACTTAAACAAACTCCCATTCAATAGCCTTGTCCAAATACCCACACTTGCAGTCTTGGCCACTTGAGAGCGCGTGCGCGCGACAGGAAGTAAGTGTGCAAGTCTGTCCCATGTCTTCAAAATGCCAAAGTGCAGTGCCCTTAATGGATACTAAATCCACACTATCTCGAATACCGCTCCAGAGCGCTATTCAAGGCTAAGTGTATCCCATCATGCATCATGTTCTGGAAATAAATCGTGAGACTTTTTGCCGAGATCTCGCGAGAGGTCACGGAAACCTTTCCAATGTAAGTTAAATATTAATATAATAATTAGATATTACAAATAATTTGGTAGAAAAACAGTGTTTTTACTTTTATTGGTGCAAAGATGAGTTGTGGTGATATTTCTTTTGTACAACATTTGCAACTGCTTTTTATCATTTAATTAGAAGCACCACAAATTAAAATTGTCATGTTATAGGGACTACTGAACAGACTTTAGAAGTTGATTTTAAAATGCAAAGTATTTCAAATTCAAATTAAAATAAATCTCTGTAAACACTTGCATTTTTACAACACTATAAGTGTGTCCCATCAGGTAATGAAAAGTGCGACACACACTTGTGGTCTTCACACCCACTTGAAGACTTCGGCCAAATACAGGAAATACGTCATTTAAGTAATCAAGTGGTCAAGTGCAAAGACTGCAAGTGTGGGTATTTGGACAAGGCTAATAACCCCATTGATTCTGGGACGATGGAACCGGAAGTGCTAAAATGCGAACTCTCTTCCGGGTTTTTGCCTACAAAGTGACATCATAGTTCCGCCACTCTATTTCAAAACAACATAATGCCCATATTTGATCCTTTACTGCCATCTAGTGGTTCAAAATCCCTACCCACATGAGGGAAATGTTCAGTTGGTCTAAAAGAACACAGAGGTGATTATTATTGCCCCAAAATAATTCACAGAAACTGAAAAGCGTGTATCTGAATGTAACAAAAATATACGAATCAATAAATAAATATAAATATATTTATACTGCCTGACAGGAGACTATATAATCGATCCTGCAATGCAGGGTATTTGTGAGGGAAAAAAGTTAGTCTCACACATATAATAACTAGGCTATCTATTATATTATATTACATTATATTATATTATATTATTTTACCACTAGGTGGATACATAAGTAGGACATGTCATATATATTTTGATTCTGTTATGAGTGGTGAGCTCAAATATTACATGACAGTTATGAATTTTCATTTGTTCATTTGTTTATTTAATTGGATGTAGGCCATTGCATCTATAATCATTAACATGCTAAAATTATAAATAAGGCTGTGTTTTGCCCATGGTTTAGTCTACTGTTCCATGTTGCCTATATTGTGGTTGTCTGGCCTGCATGTTAAAAAAGTTGTGTGTTACCAGA